TGCATACCCGAAGCCTTCAAATCAAATTATAAAAAAAAATCGTTTGCGAGTTATACGGCTATACATATAAGGCTCGTGGTTAAACCGGCTGGTAGAAAAGCCGGACGTTCCTCCTATATTTGTATAACTCACGAAGGAAAGCAAAATAGAAATGTCACAAGCTGAACATCACCGTGAGAGGTTAGGTGTTTATATACAAAGTTTCGTTGAAATCTGTTCTGTAGTTTAGAAGAAATTTCCTGATCGCCGCTAATTTAAGTGATAAATTACCCGGCAATACGGGCCGAATATAAGGCAGTGTGAATTCAAGAATGACGGTGAAATGAAAAAAACTCGCAAACAAAGGTAAAATTGAAAGAACTGTTATAAGCTAAAAAATCACCGTTTGGTAGTTAGGAATGTTTTTTCAAAATTTCGTTTTAATCTGTTCAATAGTTTGAAAGAAATTCGTTGATCACTGCAAATTTCGGCCTGTTTCACAATATACGCGTAACTCCCGAATGAAGGTGAAATAAAAAAAATTACGAGCTAAACATCACATCACCGTTAGGTTCTGATGAATACATGTTCCAAGTTTCATAGATCTGCATTTATTAGTTTGGGAGATATTACTTGATAACTGAATTTGGAGATTGGTCGTGAGTTAAAAGCTGATTGGTTGTGAGTTAAAACAGCTGAAAAAAGTATTGGTTCACTAAATGGGGTTCTATTTATGAAATACACAATTGTGTTTAACCTTTATCTTTTAAAATTGCATCGTACTAAATTTCAAGATAGAGGCGTATGTCTGTTCTGTGGGGGGCGCTAGAAATTCATCAGGGAGCCAAAGGGGGTGCCAGGCTGAAAAAGTTTGGGAACCACTGCAATAGAGTATCAATAGAAAGTGTCCCTAACCCTATTAATTTGAAGAATGTGAAGCTGCCAACTAATGCCACTCTGCAAAGCTCAGGTAGTGGACTGACCATCCTGATTAAACCACATGGTCCAAATGCTCTATCCTTTCTAAAAGATCCAATTGGCTTGGTGCAGGGAATTAAAAACTCACCGTTTGGAGCAGTGAGGGACTTGACTGTACGTCCTAACCCCCACCGCCAGTTGATTGCTCTGCAGTCTCCTACCTTCACTGATCAAAACATTGCCAATTATCTTGATGTCTCTATGATCGGAAAGTGGGCTGTTCGTTGCTACCAGCCAGGTTCTGATGTGCGGGTGTGCGGGGTCATTGGGCCAATTGATCCCAACGTTGACATGAAAGATATGGTCAAACTTGCAAGTGCTGGAGATGTTGTCATTTCTGACATCATTCGGCTAACTAGATCATTCCATAATGGAAATCGGGAGCCTTCAGCTACTCTTAGTCACTTTTCAAGGCCAAGTGTTGCCAAAAAAAGTTAAAATTGGATATGTCTCTTACTCAGTAAGACCCTTTGTTGCCTCCCCAATGAGGTGCTACAGATGCCAAAGATTGGGGCACTTAGCACTAGTATGGAATATATCTACTTGGCGAGCCGCGACTGAATTTTTCAGGCCACCACGACCAACCTCGCCTTAGGCACAAGAGACTGGAAAGCCAAAATCGCGAAGCACTACCGTAGGGTCTGGCATACTGCCTGGTCCTCCCTGCCTCCGCATGTAACCAAATTCAACCCAACACTAGCCTCACTCACCCCCACAGAAATGCCGCGACCCCACCAAGTAGCCATCACTCGCATCCGACTAGAATCTTGCCTCATTACACACAGTCACTTGTTTACAAAGTCCTTACCTCGCACCTGCTCCTCCTGCCAATGCCTACAAACAATGAAACACATTTTCATAGATTGCCCGCTATACACCCCTCAGCAACGTAGCCTACGCTCTGCCTGTCAGCAGTTAAACCTTCCCTTCTCTCTAAGCACAATTCTCCTGCCACCCTTCGACCCAGAACTGATAATACAATTTCTGCTTAAGACTCATCTACTGAAATCGATTTGAAATAAGGCGGAGTGGGGGCGCTAATACCTTCGTCGGTGCTGCGCCGTATCTTAACAAAGTAACAAAGTAAGTATCTCAATCTATCTGGAAGCTATGGCCAGCTATCAGCTATCTATGCTATCAATCTATCACCTATGGAAAGATCGGGTTCCAAAGGCCGGATCCCTTGTGAATCAAGTCACGAAAAGTTCAAGAATCGGCAACAGGCCATGGGCCTATTTCTTCAACGCCGACACTTCTATTCTATTCTATGAGTGTCCCAGTTGCATAAAAATACGTTTATTGGTTTTAATTAAAAAAGTGATTCATGTAAAAATGTGTAATAATTCCTGCTGCAGCGTATCGATTTTACAAGCATTTTCTCCGTTTCTTACACTTTTTATTGCTGAAAATCATAAAAGTGCGGTTTCATGCTTAGGGATTTATTTTATACCAGACAATTTGCTGATTGTATCATATTTAATTATAGTGAATTCACAAAATTGAGAAGAATAATGCTATTTGTTCTAATAAAAATTACTCTCCGCTCGCAAATAATTTTGCATTGAATGAAATAGGCGATACAGTAATCTCCATATAAAACACAATTTCATTCATATACGTTTCTTCGTTCTAACGCGTTTGATACGAGTTTAAACGAACCGCATCGGGATGCGTCGGTTTCATGAGTCATGACTGTGCTACTGCATTCTCTTGGAGTTGGAGAAAGTCAGTTTCAATCGCAATCGAGAGTTCACAGTGAAAGGTGGTGCTAATTTCGCTGAGACCAAATCTGCCGGCTTTCAATCGGTGTATGTTCGTTAACTTTAACCAACCGCAAACTTTTGTCTCATTCCCCTGAGTAGTGAATCTAAACTGCCACCAAGAAGAGAAGGGAGAATACCTCCTAAATGGAGGGTCGTCATGAAAATGACAGCCCTTCCACAGAAAAGAGACCCAAAGAATCCAACAATATTGGAAGGCGCGGAAGCAACAGAAAAACGCCCACACCCCTACTACCATCAACGAGCAAGAATCAACCCAGCCAATCGCGAAAACGAAGAATAGCTTCTCCTGCTGCCACCCCCAACACAAAGAAAAGTGCCGCATCACTCACTCATCAGGATCAGTCAGGTCTTCGCCTGACTGCAACAAGTAAGCATGCTGACACTGACAGAGAGTCCCCAGGACTAATAACAAACACCATGAAATAACGCATCAACAAGAGAAACAAGATACAACGCTAAGAGGAGATGCTAAAATCAATATCAGGCCGCCGCCAACCCCTACCGGCCTACCAGCACCAGCCGGCCCCAGCCCCCTTGGACCCAACCAAATAACACAGAAAAACCATCTAACTCAAGATAATGTGTCTAGCATGAAGCAGAATGCTGCACCAACATCAGCAAGAATGAATCTGAACTGCCCTGAACATCTAGAAAATGCAGGACAGAACATCCGGCAAATCTTGATAACTGCCAAGGAGGGAATAACCAACCTGTCAAAGATAAATCCGTTCTGCATTGCAAGGGCTACTGATATGATCTGTGGACCAATTGAAAAAATAGAACACCTACGCAATAGATCCTTGCTGGTCACCACGAAAACACTCGAACAAGTGCATGCAATAACAAAAATAAAGGAATTTACTCCTGCCGACACCTCAATTCCAGTTGAAACCACAATTGCTTGGTCCTCCCAATTCTCATACGGTAAAATCTTTGCTCCAGAACTGCAAGGTGAGTCCCTAGAATACCTATTGTCCATCTTGAGACCTAACAAAGTTGTGGGAGTGAGGAAGCTTCTATCTGATCCAGCAAAAGCTAATGTCCCACTCTAGTCTTTGTTCTAACCTTTTTGAGCCCAACTCCACCCCCCAAGATACAGATAGGATACTGTTATGTCAGAGTAGACAGATATTATCCTAACCCGCTAAGATGCTGGTTCTGCTGCAGATTCGGACATTCCCGCCTAAGGTGCTCAAACAAACACCCATCATGCAGCCACTGTGGCAGAGAGGGACTCACCAGAGAAAGCTGCCCTGACTCTTCCCTGCCTCCAAAATGTCTAAACTGCAAAGGTCCCCATTATGCTACATCTAGGCAGTGCCCAAAATACCTGGCCAAAATCCGCGCATGCCACCTCACAGCAGATGAAGGGATCAGCTTTGCAGCTGCCCGAGCCAGAGTTCAGGCCGAGGAAGCAAGCCCAGCACCCTCACCAACTATACTACAAAGACAAAGCAACACAGCAAGAACAGCTCCACTCAGCGAATTTAACAGTCAACAAAACAAGCAACCAACAAACGGTGCCAACAACCTGGAACTTGACTCCTTGAAGGTTTTCCCAACACTCACTCAGCTCATCGCCCAAGATGCATCATCCTCCATACCATCACACCAGCCACCAACAACTGAATCCTCTTGGAAATGGGGACCACCCAGTACCTTCAGACCCACCAGATCTCCAGTGCAAGCCCCTTCTTCAACATCTCTATCTCAGTACCCAAAAGGCTTGGTCATGCTGGTGTGAAAGCCCACTTGGCCCGCTTCAATTTGGCCAATTCCGGCATCTGCCCCAAATGCAACACAGAAGACACAATTGAGCATTTCATTTTGCACTGTTTGCTATACATGAATCAGAGGAGGGAATTTTGCTCAAATCTGGAGAACCTTTCACTTCCTTGGAACCTCATCACAGCTCTGGGAGGGGGTGATATTCCCCAAAAAAGGAGAACTACGGTCATTCATCACCTGGGACAATACCTGCTAAAATGCAGCATGGTGAACACCCTATGAAAATTATCAGTGCCTAATTCCTTTGTTATTTTCTTCTACACAAAAACCTCTTTGTGAGAGCATGAAGAAAAATTCAAAGTGAAGTGAAGAGGCAGTTGAGTTGGAGTTTTCAAGAAAAATCAAGTTGTGCTCAGGCTGGGAGGTGTGACTGTTTCACACCTGAAGTCTTAAAATCAAATTAAAAAAAATCCTGCATTCTTCAGTGATAACCGTTGTTTGTTGTGTCACTTGGAGATCAACTCTTGGGAAGGAATCGCAGTTTAGAGTGAAGTACAAATCTTCAAAAATTACCAAACAATTCTATTCCTATTCATTTTAGCTCTTAACAGTTAACACTGACTTTGATGGTGTTATTTAATGTTGGTTATTCCATTATTCATGCCTGGGCTGGAGCCTGGAGACACTGTCTTGGGACTTGGACTTTAAAAGTTTGGAGTAGGCTAGCTAGATTTTAACTCGTGCCATGGTCTCTTGGACTTGAACCCACCAGTTGGGATATTATTGGAGCGCCTGTGCAGCCGGACCATCGAACCAAATCTTTAAAATGAATGATTCAGGTAAGGAAGGTTCAAGCTAGCCTTAATTAGCTAATAGCCTCTCCCTCAACGCCTCAAAGGCTCTAGTTCAATTTTGAATACTATAAGTAGACCAGTAAAGTATCATGGATGCCAGCATAATCATACATAAGAAATTGGTTTAAATATTGAATAAATGAGGAAATTAAAAGTGAACTGTGAACGACAGTGAACCTATTCTAAAAAATCTCTGGTTTGCCACCGGGCGGGGTAATAAGGGACAGTCCTCTCTCATTTTGTAGGAATGTAGCAGCTAAACTAGGGTAAACGCGGTATATTCCGTCACATTGAGTACGCATCGAGAAATGAAAAACTATAAAAAAATAACTGTATGCCGCATAGTGGCAAAGCAGAGGGTTTTTTAGACTCTCCCTCGAGTTCATTTTTGAGTCCTATAAGTAGACCAGTAAAGTATCATGATACCAGCATTATCTTACATAAGAAATTGGTTTAAGTCTTGGATAAATAAGGAAATTAGAAATGAACTGATTTTAAAAAATCTCTGGTTTGTCACTAGGGTAAACGCAGTATATTCCGACATTGTGGGTAATTCTTAATATAAAGGAAAAACTAGAGAGGTGACGTAATTACCCACGATGTCGGAATATACTGCGTTTACCCTACTAATTGTAGGCTAATATTGAAAAACTAAAAATAGCAGCACAGAGTTTAACATTTTTCCTGGTAATACTTTAGATTAAGTGCATCCAAAAAACGGGTGTTTTTTTAATTATATGTTTTTTGGGGTGTACATTAAGAATCTGAAATCCGTTTTTGGCAGTTGGCATCGGAAATTTTTAATAGAACCTGTTTCTAACTGGACCTAGGTAACCTGCAAGGTTTTCTTTGATCAGCTAGGTTTTTTCTATGTTTGGAGTCCGTCCGGCGGCCGGAAAAACCTAGCCAATCAATGAAAACCTCGCAGGTTAGGTCCAGTTAGGAACAGGTTCCATTAAAAATTTCTGATGCCGACCGCCAAAAATGGATTTCAGATTCTTAATCTGCATCCCCAAAAACATAGTTAAAAAAAAACACCCTTTTTTTGGATGCACTTAATCTAAAGTATTATCTTTTTCCTGTCTAAGTAGCATAATGCAAGTTAAGAAATCAAACATTTACTAGCCTACCTGTGAAAAATCCTTGTATAAAAGTATAAAGTGTGAAAAGTGAGATTTTTGGAAAGTACCTTTGCTGAGCTGCTGAGGTCTAGCAACAAAATTTTTGCTGTATTGCAAAATTTTACTTGCAAAAATGTTGCACAGTTGTTGGGACAGTTGGGTTATAAATCAATTGATGAAATTTGTGTGGTTCAAAAAAAAAATGGTGGCCATTACTGCAAGGCAGAATAATGAGCCTTGAAAGGAAGGGATACCCACTCCTCACTCCTGACTCCTGAGGTAATAAGGGGCATGCCACCCATTGAAACGTATTTACAGTAGACCCTTGGTTAGCAAAGGCTCCAGTTAATGAAAAAAAAATTTAATAACAACAGAGAATTGTGATTACATGTATTTTGCTTATCAAAAAAATTCACTTAATGAAAAATTAATGCATCATTGGTCATAACAAAATTGTGCATAGAATGTTTTCAATATAATTGTGCACCGGGCAACATAGAATGAGAAGTAATTAAACTATGCTAAGATTTATTTCTCCAAAGAATATGATGGTTGTCACTAAATTAGTCCTTTCTGTTTCAGGAATGTTTTAATGTTTTTACAATCTTTTTTTTTTTTTTTGTTCTAGTGAATTTGCTTGACCCAATTAACCCATTAATGCCGAGCGGTTCCATTTGGAACCAGCAGAAAAAAATGGATCCATAATAAAATTGTATGGTCAAATCAATATACTAGTGGATGCGTAGGTTTGATACACATCTTGTCCATGTTCTGGCAACGTTTGGTTCTGATGCGCCGACTACTCCCTGCTCAGTTAACATTAAAAGATTGTAAGTACTGGGTGTCAGTCAGAAGGGCTTGACATCATTGCAGAGAAAGGTAAGTAGTTCGTTCTGAGAATATATTATTTACAAGTTAGATGCAAAATTTTATCGATAAAGAGAGTACTTTCAATCCTGTATATGGCATTACGTGATATAATGTTTCTAAAGTCTTATAGATCATGAAATATTTTGTCTGGTTCCAAATGGAACCGCTCGGCAGTAGTGTAAGCATTCCGGTCATCTCATTTTCCTAGTAGATTACTATGTGATATAGTTACGCATTGTATTTCAAAAACTTGTTTGTACTTAGAAATTATTTATTTAGATCTTAGATTTAAGTTTTTCTGTTATTTATTAGTGAACCATTATCTTTAGAGCTGTTAGGAATATATATCCCGAAAGTTGAAATATTTGGAAGTAGGTACGTTGAACACTATACGATTGTTCATCCCGAGTCCCTTTTTTTCTAATTGTTTTTTTTTGGCAGATCATAACATGAAATAATTGAGATTTTCAGAGAAGAATAACACGAAGATCAAATATTTGCTACTGAACCTTTCACAGAAGCAGCAACAAACGAAACATACTGAGATTCAGATAACTCAGATGACGCAACCACAAGCAATTCTGCTCGCCTATCGAGAATAACAAGGATGTTGGGAAAACACAAATTTTCTTTGAAATTTCAATCTCAAATAAGGCATTTTTGCTAAAATACTAGAGTTTCTTGGCCAAACTTCTTAAGCCTATTGTTGCTAGCAAAAGTAATGTGTAAAATGATAATTAACTATGCCAGCTACATAATATCATCCATATTTTGCGCTCAGAAGACTAAATGGATCATACCGTCGCGTTTAATGTTAGGACCTCGTAAGACCAAGTGGACTGAAATGTTGCCTTACATTTTTTCAATATACAATTTTCAATGTTCCATACTCATCTATACACTACTTAGTGACCAGAATCACTAGAAATTATAACAAAAAAAATTTATACGCTTAAAAAAATGTGGTCATTTCAGAGTTAACAGTTTTCTCGTGACAAAAACTCCAATGTGACTGATAAATATCAATAGAGTTGACATCCTGCAACACAAAACAGTAACAAGTGGTTGTGTAATCAAATAATGTGTTTCTAGATTGATAATATTAAATATCAGGTTTGTACTTTTATTAAAAACCTTGTAACACAAGAATTACCAGTTGGTCCTGTCTTACCCCATGCCCGGTCCCATCTTACCCCAGTGGGGTAAGATGGGATCAGCTCACTTTTTTCAATCTGTACAGAAAACTGTGTGAGTGCAGAAAGTCTGAGTTGTAGCTTAGAAGCCCATTGCATAACTACACCTTGTGATAGGTTTAGGGTTTTTTATTTATTCATGGTATAGGTGCTACATGCTTGTTAGTGATTTCGGTCCTGTCTTACCCCATCTGACTATAATATTTTAACAAGAAACCCCAAAAAAATTCAGTAAATAATTCTCGTCATTAATGGGTTAAAATGATGCAAAATTACAAGCCCAGGGCCCTAGTCCTGTAAGCTTACAGATAGAGAAAAAATGCTATATGGCTGCTGATATGAAGCTTACAGTAGACAAGGTTGTTGTCAATGCTCTATGGCATATCCATGGATACAGTAATATCACATCAATTATACAGTAATGTATGGATATGGTATTATTATAGCAATAAATAAAAAAACAAGTACAAGGCACAGACTCACAGTTAATAAGAGACACCCCTAAAAACATTTACAGTAGAACCTTGACTAGCCAAGGCTCCAGTTAACAAAAAGATCAATTAACAACAAAGAATTTAGTACTGTTATTAATGTAATGAATGAGTACACTCTGTATGCTTCAAATGTTTCAAAATTTAAGTTTTATTTCAAGTTTCCTGAAGTACCTACTTTCCAGAGGTAATTTGTAGACTTCTGCATCCCAAAATAATTTTCTTGAAATGAACCGGGACAGACGAATCGAGACAAGAAAATTCCGGGGAAAAAAATAACGGGACAGAGGGTAAAATTTGTCCCAGAATAAACGTATGAACCGAGACAATAATTCTATCCTGGACTTTGAAACTTGTGTCCCGGTTATTTATGAACTGGGATGACACAGACAGATTTGAAACGAGACATAACAAGATGAGACAAGATTTGTCTTTATTATTTAAGACAAAACAAGTTTTTCAATTACGATATGAATCATTTCAAAAACATGGGTTGAAGAATGACAAGTTAGCCCTTTATTGCTAATAGGGCCATTGGCCATAGACAGTTCCCAGTTAAATTGAGTTAATTGAAGATTTAGCAAAATTTGTCTGACCAATGGACATGGCAGTTGATTAGTGGTCCAAGAAACACCGCAAACCTGTTAATATATGGCCCTGAGTATTGAATAAAAAAAGTAACCCGTAAGTCTTAACCAAGGCTTTGATGGAACTTATGGGAACCGTACAAGTACGAGTTGAGTTCATTACGCGTTCGGAACGAGTTCAGGCGCCATGGAGCTCATAGGGAGTAGGGATGCAGTGTCTAGATTAGTCGGCCAATCAGTAGACAGTGGAGTGGAGTCCTGGTAAGATATTCCTAATAATACTAAAGCTAGTTTTTGATTATCTCTGCCTCTAGTAAAATTTGTGCTATGCCTCCAGGAAATCTTCACAATTGCGCAGTTTCCTGAATTGTTATAAAACACTTGTTGAACGTTATTTAGAAAGGATACAAATGGATATTTCGAGTTCTTTTTTGAAGATCAAACTTATATTTTTCCAACTTAAATTTTGTTGCATTTTAAAATGTTGTTGATATTTCTTTCCAAACTTTTTGTTGAAGGAGATTGGTCAAGGCAAGATTGATAAATCTGATTCTGTGATTGAGCTGGAGGCAAATCAAAGTCTGTCCAGTCAGCTGATGTCACCATCTACACCTAGTATGGCCTCCTCCAGACCATCATAGAACACAATTATTGGAAAATAAATAATGTACTTTTCCATTTTTAATTGCCTGTCAACATTAAGTACCATATTAAACCACAACATGTATTCGTAGCAAGAATCATTTCAATTGCCGAGCTCCAATCAGAATAGTAAAAGGATACGTCCCAAGTTATTGTATAAATGTATGATGGTAAGCCAAAGTTTACACCACATCAATAATTGATTCGTCTCGTTATTTCTTGTTATGTCTCAATAAAATGGCTATAAGTTCTGGGAAATTTTAAGCTACCTATTTTAACCGGGATTTCTCATCTTGGTATCATCCCGGAATTCCTATGAAGGGCTGAAAATTGTCCCGGTTTTTATTGCGAACTGGGACAGAGCCTGCTGTCTCGTCTAGTCTCAGATAAAAAAAAAGCCAAACGCAGGACTCGAGTCTAGTAATTTGGGATGTTTTTTTTTTGTGTCTGACACCTTATGAATAGCATATAGAATTATTTCATAGATGCCTGCAATAGCCCTTGCAAAAACCTTTAAAATGAGCTTGAATTTGTTTGGGGTAAGAAGTTATAAAAAACGCATCCCTTATCACCATGTTTGACAGTATGCTAGCTTGAAGAACAAATGTTGATTGCTACTTGTTTGTTTCTGCCTATGATTGCTAATCATAGCCAAATTGGGAAAGTGACATTCTGACCAAAATGAGGATAATTTAACATGTATTTCTACTATTCTAATTTCATTAGGTTTAATCTTGGTTTAATATAAATACTTGGAGGATAACAGGAATTGTGTGTGATACAGGCAATTTGTTTGAACAATTTGGTTATGTTTTTATTATTGATAAACAAAATATTTGCTCTGATTTAGAATAAAACTCAATGCAGCACCTGAAAAATATAATAATTTTAATCAATTCGCCAGCTTGATCAGTGATGATGAATTATTGGCAGCTGTTAATGTGTTGTTATTGCCTTTTGTTGATATACATATGTACAAATTTTATTGCTAGAAGAACAACTCCTTAGATTCATCACTCTTTCAAGATTCACATGCTATCTATGAGCAAAATATAGAAAATTAAGATAGCAGATATTGGGTAATTCCTGAACTACTGTACTGATGCCATTGCCTTTACTTGCAAACATCAGTGAACAATGATATTCCTTTTGGCAAACAGTAAACAGGTCATAATTAACAGTTAGTCAATGAATATCTTTAATGATATTATAAATGATACATAACAAATACTGTATAATTCATATTTCTCAATAATTGTTACCAAATTGATCATGATGACTTATACAGTTTAAATTTTTGATATTGCAGATGATGAAATACCCAACAATAGATCTTCTACTGCAAGGTCAAGAGGAAAATATCAGGGCAGAGGCCCCAGAGCTCCACTGCTGGGGGCAAGACCTAAAACTCGTGGAAGTTTCAATAATGTTCCAAATAGGGGACCTGATTTTGGGTTGGTTCTTTTGAAATAATATTTATGTGTGCTACTGTAATTATTTCTTGTGTTCAATTTTTTTGTGGGTTACACAAGTCGTGTCCGTAAAATAAGTTAATTGGGCTGCTGTTGGCACTAGGATTGTTTCTATGCATGGCTAGGCAACACAGGCAGGTTGTTCAATTTCCCCACTCCAATCCCTTACCAAGCCAGTGTCCCTGCAATGTTTGGGCTTGCCTCAGCAGGCCTCAGCCATGAGGCTTTCTCATTTGTCTCTTGCCAGCTGTAAGTTGTGGTGTTATTCGTTTCCTGGCCGCTATGAAGAAATCTGCAAAGGAAATTAATGAAAAACTTTGGAGAAGAGTATGAGCTCCGGGATTGTGCACAAATGGGTCAGGATTTTGAAAATGTCCAAACTAATGCTCACAACACCTGTGGCCATTGGTTTCTAATGAAACGATTGCCAGAGTTGAAGTAGTAATGCTTGAATATCAATGAATTACAGTTTGAGAGCTTTCTGAAAAAAATTCCTGAGGTCAGCAAAACAATAATTGACAAGATTTTGACTGAACATTTAGGCTATTGGTAAGATGGTACCAAAAAAGCTCGCAGCTGACCACCACCAGCAGCGGATTGAAGTGACAGCAGCCCGACCGCACTCCGCTGATCAAGCCGCAGCTCTCATTTGAAAGATTGGTATGGGAAATGCTGTTTCACCCACCCTACAGCACAGATTTTGCACCAAGTGACATCTATCTCTTTGCTGAGTTGAAGAAAAACGTTGGCAGAGCCTAATTCCAGTCAGATGAAGAGGTGCAAAATACAGTTGTTAGTATTTTACAGGGACAGGCAGCAGAGTTCTATGACTGGTTTGGAGAAGTGGGTGCCTTGAATGCAGAAGTGGCAATTACGTAGAAAAATAAAAAATGGGCTCAGGCTCTCAGCTTTTCAAAATGTACTTTACTTTGCAATTAAACCAGTTTTTTTATGTAAAATGATTTGTGGAACTTATTTTACAGACAAGCCTTGTATTTCCATCTTGTGCAATCCGGTAGTGTTAGTGTCAAAACATGTGTAATAATAAAGCCAAATTTCTTCAATAGACCTTGTAAGATGGTGAACTCTCAAAAGTGCATCTGCATACAATTTCTTGCAGTACTACTGTGCAATTTATTTCCCATAATAATACTTTATTTCTGCTTTCCTCTACTGTAGGCCAATAATCAAGGTTGGTGATTTTTTTTATTTAAAAAAAAATAAAAATTGATGATTTTTTATTTTTTCATTTTTCTTTATTTATTTGATTTTTCAGTTATTTCTTGAATGTTATTTTTTATATTGCAATAAGCCTACCAACAATAACAGTATATGGATGGCTAAAAAGGGCAGTTATTGCCTTCAAGAATGGCCAAGGTGGTGTTTACCACTTTGGGACTTTTGGGTAAACAATTATTGATAAGTCTATTCATTAGCTTTGTAAAATTTGCATGGAGCAAGGCAACAAGCTAAATATTGACCATTTAACTGGCTTTAATATACAACAACACTTCAGAAACGCAGATCTTCTAAACATTGAAGAGTCCAATAACAGATAGGTAGCTGATAGCACAGTCAACAGTGCACAGCACAATCAATAGATAGTCCTATAAATTTACCTGACTCTACCCTCTAAACACACTGACTAGTAGTGACTAAGTGACTGACTGCTTTGTTCCCATTTGATTCAGACCAATAAACCAATACTAAACATTAACTGAACAACAACCAAAAAAACTTTAACAATTTGAAACAAGACTGATGAGAAAAGCTAACACTGTTTGAAATAAACATGTATACAATTAAAACATTTTATTTCCATTTACTGCATTTAATCATTTTATATATAGGTTTATAATTGTAATTGTTTTGTTTCTAGTTATAAATTCACATATTTAAAAATTGAAATTAAATATTTTAATTATAATGGGTATTCATGTTATGGTGAAAATCTTTCTAAATGCCTAAAAGGTCAATACAATCTCAACCAACCCTTCTTATATAAGCTTGCTAACACATGTAAATTGTATAATGTAATTAATATATAACAAATAGTCAAATAGTTAGTTAAAGACTACTTATAGCCTTATAAGAATTAGCTAAGCTGCTAGCTATGTACAATGTATTGCAATACTTTTGCCTCTATAGCAAAAATATACAATTCATTGGAACTTAGGTACACACTAAAGGCAACAGGTTTATATTCCAATTTGTCATAGTACATACCTATATACTAAACCAAGAATAAGAATACCTCAAAATAAATTAAAGATAAAGATAATTAAAGATATTTATATAATAAAAAAATCAAAAAAATCAAATGATTTAATCAGTTGGATTTAATCATTGCCAACCCTGCCAATAATGGATTTTATTTGTTTGGCTTTAAGTCCATCATCATACTCTACACCATAAAATTTTTCTCTCTTGCCAGACTTCTTAACTGTACTAACTTAGTAAGAGGTTATAAAAGCATTTATTCATTATGTTTTAACAAACCATCCAATTCTTATCACACCTAATTTCAATCATCTTCATTAATTATGATGTTCTTGATTGAAGTTTTATTCTTGATTGTTCTCAAGATCAAAAATTATTTAATTTCAAATTTTGCCAATCAGACTCTCATAATAAGACTCAAGTCTCAAAATTCTTTGTTAAATTTTAATTTGTCATTGCTTTACTTTTTGTTTGAAATTTTCATTGTTTGAATTCTTGCACACCAGCTCTATCATTCAACCCTCAGTTCCTTGATTTAGCATTGTTATTAAAATGGTACATTTTGTTGAAGGGAACCCAATATGAATTGATTCATACATCTTGCCTAATTGATCTCACACAACAATGCTTGTATTATGTGCAGTGGTACCCTGAAAGTTGGTCTAAATCTGTGAACAGAACTTTGAACATTTGCTAACTAGCATCACTTGCGCAATACAGTGCAACTTTTTTTTATGGAAACATATTGTTGAGGCAAGGTTCAAATTTGTATAAATTTTTGAGTAAAAATTTTGCCTACATTTTGCTTTCAGTTCATAATTCTGATATCTTGACATAACCCCATAAGAAATAGTCACATGGGGTGAGGTGATCTCGGTGGCCAGAAGTGTAGAGCCAGATCTTCATTTTCCGTGTGTAATACCTAGGAAGTGACTGATTCAAAAAGTTTTGGATGCCACCTAATTTTGAGTCTGAATAGGTTTTAAAAAAATTTGAACCTTTCTCTTTCAATCAGTGCATAAATTATTCATTTTAGATTTATACTTGAATCAGTGAGTGTACCGGTCATTGAAAACCTGGAAAGTCATGGAATTTGATTTTTCATTTTCCAGGTCTGGAAAGCCATTGGATTTCATTTCAGGTCATGGAAAGTCATGAAACAAAAGGCTTTTGATTTCCCTCAATAAGCTTGATGTTAGTTACATGGCCAGGACCGCGATAAAAAAAAAGCTTGCAGACAAGAGGGCAATGCACCACTGCAAGTTCTCACTTTCAAGACACGAGTGCAGGACTTCAAGCAGGCTGTAGTCCATAAGCTACTGGACAAGAGCCCTATCAGGTATGTCCTTGGTAGGAACCTGAGATGGCCATGGTGCCAAAAGGATTCATCAAGGACTGGAAGGAACCTGACAAGACATGATTGAAGAACTCTCACTTTGCTTGTTGATGCCAAGAGATTTCCTAACACAGATGTGGATAGTGTTTTGCAATGAGATGTCCAACTTTAAAGATGAATCACAACATTGCAGTAAATTGAATGCACAATTTCAAGCATTTTCAACTTCTGATTGACTGGACACTTTTTGGCATGCCATCCTGTCAGAGAGCACCTACAAGCTCTGAAATGTAGTGCAGATGCTCATGCTCCTGTCTCATGGCCAAGCCACGGTTAAAAGAGGGTTTTCATTCAAGAAGGAAATCATGACACACAACATGAAAGAGCAAACTTTGGTTGCCCTGCTTGCTGTGGTTGATCATATTGCAGATGTTGGTGGCCTGTACAAGATGACCATCACTAAGAAGATGCTGCTTGCAGCTCCCAGTACCAAAACAGCATAAAATAATTATTTGGCAGAAGAGAAAGAGCAGAATGCAAAAGCCAAGAAAACCCAGAAGAGGAAGGCTCTGATGGATGAGCTAGATGAACTGAAGAAGAAGAAAAGGCGTGCGGAGGAGGCATCAAGGCGCTTGAGCAAGCAGCAGATGAATATGCAGAAGCAATGGAGAGAAATGGGGATTTGAAAATTATCGCCAAGTTCAACGTCATGAGGCGATACAGCAAAAAATGATGAAATATGTAGCTGCCAGTTGAATGTTAGGGTAGTGGTGTTGAAGAGTGTTCTGGACTGTATTGACATTATCATGTACAATCTTGTGTGCATTACTCAGTACAGTATATGTTTTGATTTGACACTAGTTATTGAATTCATAATAATACCAGTGTGGGCATGATTTGCAGATTAGTGTCATTTTTGTTCCTCAGTGTCTGCCTGCTCTATGCATTTGCACGTTTGCTCTTTATCAACTGTAGGAGATGATAGAATATGCATGGTTAGTCTTTCAGTCATGCTAAACCTGTTGAATACAAGTCTTGGAAAATTATATTGATGGTCATGTAGAGTCATGGAAAAGTCATGGAATTTTTTAAATACCAGTACGCACCCTGTTAAATAAGTACAAATTTATTAAATTGGGTCCACCATTTAGAATAACTCCTTATTAAGGATCCTTTGTATATTTTACTCACTATTGTTTAAAAAAATGTGCAGCAAATGCATTGTATTACAGTCGAGGGAGGAGTCGTGGAAACCGTGGACATGGCCGACCAAACTACAGAGGTTCTGGCAATGCTGTATGCAACTACAGTGATGATGGCTATGGTGTGCCCAACAGCCAACAGAATATTGGGTATGGTGTGCCCAACAGCCAGCAGAATTATGGGTATGGTGTGTCCAGCAGCCATGAGAATGGCAGGTATGAAATGCACTCTGGCCATCTTGGCAGCCTTGATGCCCTGAACTACAGCGCCAGTGAAAGAGGTTCTTCTAGAGAAGGCGGATTGCCCAGTCTTATAGACTTGCGTTCTGATGCTGGTCAGAGACGTCCACGTGGAAGAAGCCATGCTCGGGGAAGAGGCAACTGGAAACAACATGAATTTGGTGGGAGGTATGTAAACTAAACAGTTTTAAATCTATTCATTTAATTTGAATTATAAAAGTGCTATTGTAGTTTTTGACCAAACTTTTATTAAAGAAAATGCCTAACCCCATCCTTAACTAGTTTGAACACCACTGAAGAACCATAAAATTACCATATTTTTTATATATTTTAATGCTAATTCTTAGCTCAATGCCCAGATCCTGATTTATGTTCTTCAGCAATACCCAAGCCACCAACAGAAACTTTTCTCCAAAACTTTTATGATCGGATACGTAACACATGAAAGTCACTAAGTCACTGTGTAGCATGGATACAAAATGATAGCCACTATCATGTAGCCGTAGAAGCACTTTGTTTTACTTGATATGCTAAATATCATATCATTTAGTTGAATACTAGACTTGGTATTCAATGGTAGGCTACAGGAAACACGAGGGAAGCAAAAATACCAAAGTAAAATTCGTTAATGACCTCAGAAGTGTTATTGTACAAAATAAAAGACTTGTGGAGCTCGAGGGGAGTGTGTAACATAGTTTTGGAACCAGCACCTCAATTATTAACCTTAGAATTCATGTGCTCGTTTGTCATACATTAATACAAAAATTTTAAATGCTTTCTGTAGGGTTCACTGCAATAATTGGTGTTTTAGAATTCAGTTGTTAGTAACGTCCATACTAGGACATTCAAATCTCCGTTCTTCAGGCAAGTAATGATGTAAAAATATTTAATTTGGTTTAAACATAACCAATGAAATTCTTCATCAATATTTTTCTGAAAATGTTATCTACTGTGACCAGAGTTCAGCAAGATTCTTATGGAAGGATTTAACTTTTCATCATTAATTTGTATGATTTTTCTTATTTCAGAGGACGCCCTCAAACACATCAGGAAAACAACAACGGCGAAAGAGACGAAGAAAGGGAACACACGGGAGGTCACAATGCGAAGAGACTTTATCCTGTTGGAATCAATGTTCTCAAAGAGTGGACTACTCAGCCACCAGATCTGGTCATCCACTCTCTGTTGAGTGACAGGTCTGGAGTGCCTCAACTGTTGGCTGAGACGAAAATCCCTGATGATAAATTAGTTCTTTTCATCAAGGTGCTCGCCAGTGCATCGACTTGCACGGGTTGTCGACAGAGTCTGATTGAAATTTTCACTATGATATTCACTGAGGATTTTGTGAATAAGCTCGTTACGTTTCACATTTCGTTGATGACAAGCCAGAGGACGGACGTGAAAAGCTTCCTTGAAGATCAACTACAATTACTGAAAGTATTGAAAAAAACTCTCATTAACCAAGCCAAGGAGATGCTGCCTACTTTACTGCAAACTGTCAAGATCGTCATTCCTAAGCTGAAAAATCAATCCGAGTTAAACGAGCTGATGACTGAGTATGAGCAGCTCCTGGCATTGCTCCTCGAGAGTCAGAAGCCGGGGCCTGACATCGGCGAGCGGAAGCGACGTCCTTTTGCTGATCGCCTCGCAGACCTCGATGATCTGGAACCAGAGGACGACTACAGGGACATACCCATTGAGCCTACCGACGATGAGCTGCTGCAGCTTGAAGCTCCTCTCATAAGGAGGAACATCACTGAGGGGGCCTACAGAGATGTACACAATTACCTCGATGTACAGTTTAGGCTTCTACGCGAAGACTTCATTCGCCCCCTGCGCGAAGGCATCCGCCAGGTAAAATCTGGTCTGAAGGGGGTAAAGGATGTCCGAGTGTACCGGAAAGTCAAATTTCAGGATACCCAGATCGTGCGCGGTGAACTTGTGCATTTTGTGAAGCTTAATTTCCCAAAAAATTTCAAAGTCGAATTCTCAAAGCGACTGCTGTTTGGCAACGTAATGTGCTTCAGTGCCGACAATTTTGCCTCTTCTTTTCTGGCAACCGTTGCAGGCCATGACCCTGACAAACTGAAGAACGGACTTGTTGGCATAAAGCTGCTTTCAGTGTCTAAACTTGACGCCAGTCTTGAATACACAGCTGTTGAGTCAAGGACTTTCTTCATCGCGTACAAACACGTGCTCAGAGCTCTCCAATTCATGGATGAAAATACCCTCCCGCTTGTTGAGCACATTGTCTTCGCTGAGAAAGCTGTCCGACCTCCTCAGTACGTGCTAAACGCAGCCAATGTGCACTACGATCTGCGCGTTGTTCTGCAAAACAACTACATGAAAGATCAGGATAAAACTGATATTTTCCCGAAATCAAACACCATTCCACCACCAAACAATCGGCCGGATCTTCAGCACATTCCCATAACGAACGCTGAGGTAGAAATGTGGCCGAGATCATCCGACTTTGGTCTCGACCGATCCCAACGCAAAGCACTGCACTCCGCGCTCACAAAACGACTGGTTGTGATTCAAGGCCCACCAGGAACCGGCAAAACTTATTTAGGTCTAAAAATCACCCAAGTTTTGCTCCACAATTCGCAGGCATGGTCTAGGAAAGAAACTGAAATCCGACATGTCCCTGGGCATCAAAATCGAAGGCTGGTGCGAACAGTTGATGTGGACGTGACATCGCCCATTCTCGTCATTTGCTACACAAACCACGCGCTGGATCAGTTTTTGGAAGGCATGCTCAACTTCACTAAAAGAATAATCCGCATTGGAAACAGAAGCAAAAGTGAAAGCATCCAGAGCTACCAAATCAACGAGTTTGTTAGCTACTTGAAAGAACAACGGCGACTTCCTTCGAACCTCCGAAATGCTGGCTCTAAAATACGAAGTAGAGTAAATGACGCCGAAACTAAGCTGAAAAGTCAATATGCTCAACTGCAAGAAGTTGCGCATGATTTGGGACTTCTGAGCTTCGGCTTGCTCAATTCGTACGGCGTCATCCCTCCCAACATCGTAAGCAAGTTGGAACGCGGTCAACTCTACCGCTCCTGGATGCTGCCAATCGATCAACCGTGGTGCATGAACCTAACGTATGATCCTCGTCAGGTTTGGTCAATGCCTGCGCAAATGAATGGCGATCCTAAAACGGGACCTTCAGCCGCAGATGACAAAGAAGACGACGAAGAATGGCATGATGCTCTGGAAATGCTGAGGGAAGCTGAGAATGAGCGAATCATTGACGTTGAGGAAGATGACCTCCAAACTGGAACTGCTTTGATTTTGCCTCGAGCAAAATCATACGAAGTTAAGAGAATCAATCCTAAAGAGTTTGAAACCTCACTATTTCGTCAGTTAAATGATGGCCATGTAACAAGAGAGGACTGTGAGATAACCTTGGATAAATTCTACAAAGAGCAGCGAATATTAGGCGAACTTCTCCAGTTCACATCAAGAGATGTCTCCTCCGTGGCTAATGCGACCATCAACGAACATGTGGACATCTTTCGGTTGGCTTACAAGGATAGATGCTTGCTTTATTGCCTATGGAGGCACAAGCTGTTGGCTAAAATGCGCGAGACCATCCGCCCTCACGAGGCCAACATACAGAGGCTCATGGCGAGGGCGCAGGAGGTGAAGAACTCCGAGTATCTGCACGTGGCGCGTCAGGCGGACGTTGTGGGCCTCACCACCACGGGGGCTGCGCAGTTCCAGGACGTCGTCCAGGAACTCAAGCCCAGGATAGGCAAGTCTCAAACTATGAGCACTTGAATAGTTTTGTCTGCACCTTATGTTCTTACTGAACGATAAATGATTTGCTGCACTTCGGGTATCACCAGGGGGGAAGGGTGGGTCGGTTAATATGCAGGCTCTATAATGAAGCTCTTTCTCACTTTGTTTACCTCTATTCAGTAATTTGTAAGACGGTCATGACACTTGTATTGATGCCTAATCTCATGTTATTCCCGTGATTTGTATTGTTTTAGCTGTAAGAGATTTTTAGACTAGTAAATGCAACTGCGATACTTATTTTATGTTGCGTTTCAGTGATCATTGAAGAGGCTGCCGAGATATTAGAGGCTCACGTCATAGCTTCTCTCAACACCAACTGCGAGCACCTCATCTTGATCGGTGAGATTACAACAAACGTGCGCTTTTTCTTACTTACATTACTTGTGAAAAGCATCTGCTAATCCTAATGCTTTTAGTTAAAGACATTCAGTGCGAACACTCAAGATCAAATACCAACACCACCATATAGGTGCTTGCCCAACTATAACAACACAATTGTGGAAGAGAACCTACAAGGCAAATTTACTCCAAAATATCAACTGAATCTTAGAAAGAATTTTAAAAATGGTCCACAATTGTTTAACAGTAAGAATTTGTTGTAATAATGTAATGAGACTTCAGGACAAAATGGGTACACTTCTCTCAGTGTACTCAATTTGCAATAATGGCAATTGTCATCTTGTAGATTTCTGACCGCTGTGACGGGGTGAGGTTGGTTATTTCTGGCATTGATGTTCACTCTCATTCAGTATTGTTTCATTTATTCAAGTAACTTCTGTTTGAATTGTGCAGGCGACCACCAGCAGCTGAAGCCAAGCCCTGCAGTTTACCAGCTCGCCAAGCACTACGGGCTCGACACGTCGCTCTTCGAGCGGATGATCAACAACGGAGTCGCGTGAGTGATAGCTTTAATAAGAATATTCCAGCACTTTTGAGGAAATCCCGCAAGTAATCTTGTTTGCAAGCCACTTTTTGCCCAAGGATTTGGTATTTTGCACTTTTTTTGTAGAACCCTGATTGAACATGATAATTAGCCGACGAGCTGAATTCATCTCAGCTAACAACTTGTAAACTGCCAAAATAAATAAAACGAGCGGAAGATGAAGTATGACATCCTTGCTTCATTTCGAAATTGTAATTTTTACTGTGCAGGAATATTGACTGGTCATTGTGCCACTTCATCCTCTTTCCTTTTAACAATTCTTACAATTGAACATGCAAATCTGAAGCAGTACATAGAAACATCTCATAGAAGACGCCACAGTCATCTCGATGCTCTGTAATCTAAGTTGAGACGTGTATAGAGTATATGTCTATAAGGTGGTGCCGTGTATATGTTCCTAACACCAACTCAATTTATGCAGGTACGAGACCCTGAAGTATCAGCACCGCATGCGACCTGAGATTTCATCTCTCCTGGTCCCTGCCATCTACCCGGAACTCGAGGATCATGCGTCAGTCCAAGGCCGAGATCATATCCGGGGTGTCGAGAGGAGCGTCTTCTTCGTGTCTCACCTCGAGAAGGAGCTAGCAGTACGTTATAAAATTTAATTGTATTGTTCAAAGTGGCATTATGTGTTTGGTCTTCGTGGGTATACCTGCGCATATCTCATTCTGCCTCTTTAGCTCAAGATTACATCAATTGCAAGGCCTCTGAGGAGCTACGCTGCCGCACGGAGGTTTCCTGACGCGGGTCTTCATCATTCATAGTGACTTGGCATTTTCAGTTGAATTGTTGCTGAGTGGCGCACTAAATAGCCCATTTTATCTGCCTACGTACCGGTATCCTATTTAAGGGGAGCGTCTGCCACAAAATAAAAAATTTTGACTTTTTTGGTTTTTATACTCGTCTTAAAGCTTTCATTCTGATGCATCTAACGGTACCAAAACCATCTGTGTACGTTGATTTATGCGTTCACGACAGATCGCGAAAGGGTTAGGGGTGGTTAAGTTCTTCAACATTTAAGATAGGCCGAAATTAGCGGTAGATCACTTGAATAGCTTGTCTGAACACGTTGTGCTTCAGTTATCCGCCTGCAGTCGTACGGGATGGTTCTCGTGCCGTCCTTCGCACCATCCTTGACAGAAATTGAGCTCCAGTATCGTCTAGTCTTGCAACCTTGCACCCTTGAATGTCTATTTCGAGGCGTGTGCGACTTTTTCGGGCTCTACTGAAAAGTTAAGTTATTGTCACTGCAAACCTATCTCCTCCTAGAGTTTTGAAGCTACATCAATGAGAGATATACCGTTCGAATCGCAAATAAAAGATCTCCAAATGATGCAGACGTTTTTTTTTAATTTCGTTATATTTTGGATTTTATTCTGCAAAAAAGGGGGGGGGGTGGCGGGGGTAAAATGAAAAAATTTCCGAAAAATTCAATGCTCCCATACCCACAAAAATGAAAATTTCAAAAAATCGTTTGCATCAGTTTTAGATATGGTCTTTACGCGCCGAATGATATGTGTCTCGATGTTGTAGCTTGAAAATCCTAGGAGGAGATAGATTTCTACAGTACCCTCTTTTTTGTCCGTTTTCTAAGAATTTCACGTTTTCTTTCATTTTTTCGAAAAATTCACACGAATAAAAAAGTCTTAGAATTCCGTTTTACATACGTGTACCGAATTTCGAATCGATCCGTCGATAAATAACAGATAAAATTCGGAGCAGACGCTCCCCTTAAGGGTTCAAGTTTATATGTAGATAGGATTCCCTGCTTGTTGCTACTCTACCCTAGCCGAGATATAGAGAAAACTTTTTTTTGTGTTTCTGGTGTCCATGCATCAGTTTCTATTGCTGCTCACCAATTCCTTTTAACTTTAAGATGTTGACATTGTTTTTGTCTCTTGTAGAAAACGTGCGTTAACTCTGAATCACCCGCCTCTTGTGGTCTGTATGTCGCAGAAAAGCTTGTTTGTATCAAAATTTCCCATCTTGTTTTAAAATATCCTCAACTTTTTAAGATAGCTTGCTTGTTCAGCTTGATAGCTGTAGTGCTCGTTATCTTCAGATCCACTTTGCTGTCTATACCTTTGAAATTGGGCTAAGTTATCTTCCAAGTAAGAAAACTGTTGATTGTAATTGCAGTAATCTTCTATGCAAGTTAACTCTTTAATTTGTGCAATTTGATCTTCTGCAGGAAACCGATGATAACAACAGCCACAGCAACGTCCACGAAGCAGAGTTCATCATGCGTCTGGCTCGTCACCTCGTCCTGCAAGGCTACGACCCAACGCTCTACTCCGGCCAGTTCTTCCTGCTGCGTAAAGTAAGTGAGGCTACGACCCGGAACATCAATTCAGAAGAGCTTGATGAGTAAACACAAAATGGTGACATTGCTTGATGCAAGACCATGAAAGTAATGGAAAGCAAACATAATATTTGACGACTTGCGTATAAAGTCTTGGTACGGATAGTCAAATATGGCGTAGATGGCCGTAACGCTTTATTTGTAGCGTGGAGAGTAAATATTTTCCAGTCCTCGTGAGATTTAGTACATTGATGCGTCGAAGACGAGAATTTAATGATCGTGTCAGCGGAAATTCTATTCGTTGAATGCAGACAGAATTCTATAAATCATCCATAATCACAGAAATCACAGCATTATTCATTATCCTTTCCATAGGGAAAAACAATTTTTTGCACGCTTTGTTGAAAATTGTGCACTTGCAAATGTTGCCCACCGTACGTAAACAAGTGCCACTTGTCTGCATTGTAATGCACTCGTCACAGTTGAACTTGAATTTCGTTTTCTGAACCGAAGATTACACAGTAAATTTAAAATTAACAGATTTTTTTCACAAAACTTCCCTGCAAATCCAAGTTGGCCTGCTCAAGAGAAATGGCTCAAATTCGTGAAGATTTCTGATTAATGGCTCATCATGTAACCTAGGTTTGATAGCTCTGTCTCTTATTCCCAATAAATCATAACTAGTTACCTAGCTTGTTTCATTATTAGACCCGCAATATCGTATTCTTGTAATGCTTCTCATCCTATACTTTGTGTACAGTGGTTAAAGACACATGAGGTGATTAATGCTACCACACAATTATTTTTTACTTCTGATATCATGTCCAAAGTTTCATGTGAGGAAAATATGCCTCCAAATCAATGACGTCTGCATATTTACAGGAACAACGGAAGTACAGCCCGACTTGCGACGGCATGCGCGTCACCATCGTTGACAATTACCAAGGCGAGGAGAACGACATCATCCTGTTGTCCCTGGTTCGCAGCAACGACTCAGGCAACGTGGGCTTCTTGAAGATCGAGAACCGCGTGTGCGTCGCTCTGTCGCGCGCCAAACTTGGACTCTTCATCATTGGTAACATGAAGCAACTTTGCCAGAGCTCTCCTCTTTGGATTAAAATTGAAAAATCCTTGACGGAAATCGATGGCCTTGGCGATGCTCTCGTCCTCAAATGTCAGAGCCATCCTGATCGCAAGGTTGCTGTCAAGACTGGTGAAGACTTCAGAACCATGAGTCCAGAAGGCGGCTGCACTCAGCCCTGTTCTGGCCACTTTCCAATGTGCGGCCACAAGTGTCCTCGGATTTGTCATCCGGATGATCCCAGTCATACAGAAAGCAAGTGTCGTGAGCCATGCGAAAGGAAATGTGATCGAAGAGGTCACCCTTGCCCTGCATTTTGTTATGAAACGTGTCCTCCTTGCACGGTTGATGTAGTGAAGGAACTTCCATGCGGTCACTCACACCTTGTACCATGTCACTTGCCACGAAAATCGTTCTTGTGCCCATCTAAAGTGGATAAAACTATTGAAAAATGTCGCCATGTTATTGAAATGCCCTGCCATCAGAATCCTGCAAAGAAGAAGTGTCCAAAGAAGTGTGACGTGCGCCTGGAATGTGGTCATTCATGCGACCAAACTTGCCACGTGGACTCAGACCCAGAGCACGTGAAGTATCTGTGCCAGTCACCATGCTCCCGCAACATGAAGGGCTGCTCGCAGGATCACAAATGCACTCTGTACTGTTGGCAGACCTGCCTCGAGTGTAATATTAAAGTTGAGAAGAAACTCCCATGCGGACACAAGGCTCAGCTCGCATGTCAGGATCCCGTGGATAGTTACAAATGCAAAGAGAGATGCCGCAAAGCGCTGCCCGAATGCGGCCATAACTGTTACCAACGCTGCAGTGAGCCCTGTGGTGGCTGTCGCGTCCTCGTTAGCAAAAACATCGATCAATGCGGACATCAAATCAAGGTACTTAACTAAACTCTTCCCTCTAACCTTTTAACTCGAACATGACTAATTGAAAGACAAATTAAGCTTATTTAATCTGGAAAATGCAAGGAAAAATGTTAATTTTACAGGAATAGTCTGAAACTTTCGTTTTAGATTTTGCTCGTTATTTCAGCTTCTAGTATTGTCCGGATATATTTATGGCCAGGTTTGGAAATGTACTTATGTGCACATTCGGCTTGCATAGAAAATCTTTAACTCGTTCCGATATTATGACTAATACTTCTCACTGCATAAGTACTTTTACTGGGACTCATCTTCTCGCATTCATGCGTGTCCATGGCTAAGATTGCCCTTCTCCATTGTGCCAGATGGAATGCGGCAAGACGCCCAATCCCTCGATGTGCAACAGCAAAGATTGTGGGCGCCGCCTGCCCTGCGGTCACAAGTGCCCGCGTCCCTGCAAGGAACCCTGTGGCGGCTGCCAGAAAATCGTTCCTGCGAGCGTCAGATGCATTGTGAAGGATCACGAGCTCTTGGTCCCCTGCAGCAGCCTGCCCCTGACTGAGCCCGACTACTCCCAGTGTCGTGTGCCGTGCGGGGCCAGCCTGAAATGTGGACACCGTTGCAAGGGCTCCTGTGGCTCCTGCCTTCATGGTCGCTTCCATCTGCCGTGTGCTGAGAAATGCGGACGAACGCTCGTGTGTGGTCACGTGTGAGTGCAATGGCCTTTTACTTACCATTGCTTCAAGAACGTTGGGTAGAATTATTCTTCTTTTTCTTCTTTTAGGGGTAGAATTATTCAGATTTTTGTGAAGTTGGTTATTTTTACGCTAATAAATATGGGGCAATCTGGAACTTGGAAACTGCATCAGTAGTTGGGTTGGTAGTGTTGGTTAGTGATCGATTAAAACTACGACACTTGACCATTCTTCAACCGCTAGAAAATATGATCTTTTGCTGTAAGTCATTTGTTTATGCTGTTGTGCATTTGTATTCTTTTCATCTAAGAGCACGTTCCATTAGATCTCAGCAGCAAGTTTTTGCGAAACTATTATGCTCCATCTCTCTCTCTGCTATTGCACGTCATTGCAATATTTATCAGGTGCTGCTCCATAGTTAAACTGATAGGTAATTACACCTTTCAAAGCGTTCGCAGGATACACGTCACGGCGTTTCTGTGATCTAATTAAGAGGGAGAGAGAGAGATATTATCGAGTCGAAAGACTCTGTAATATCTCGCCTGACAGCTCCATTCTCTGTGAATGCGCATCATTGCGATACTTATCAGGTGTCGGTACGCTTCTGGTGCAAGTATTCTCGTAGTGCCTATTTCAACCCTTTCGTGACTTGAGGGTATTTTCGGTCCCAAGCCACTACGTACGAATAGCATTGACGACGGTGAATGTATCCTAGAGCAAAGGGTTAAAATATAAATTTTATCGTCCCTTCTCTGCGTATCACTGCGATATTCATCAAGTGTTGGTATGTTGCAGATGCAAGTCGCCATGTATCAATTAATTTAAACTGTTAATTTGATTTTCGTTCTCTGCACATCACTGCGCTATTCATCAAGTGTTGCTATGTTTGCAGGTGTAAGTCGCCACTTATTGATTAGTTTAAACTATTAATTTGATTCTACGTTCTCTGCGTATCACTGCGCTATTCATCAAGTGTTGGTATGTTTGCAGATGCAAGTCGCCCTGCAGCGCCGCATGTCCGCCTTGCCAGGAGAAGTGTCGCTGGAAATGCTCCCACAGCCGCTGCAATAAAATCTGTGGCGCTCCGTGCACTCCATGCCAGGTAACGTGCAACTTATTTGTTTTTTTTTTAGTTAACTAACGCATCAAGTAGTTATTGAGGACTGCTAATTTTTCAAAATCTCCATTGTTAGTTTTATTGCAGGAGTAATTAAAACCGTGCTTGCAGGAGTCTCTTTCACTTTATTCCAGAATATCAAGATGCATCAAATCATATATCAAATGTTCTCTCGACATTAATAGATATTGAAATAATGAATAAATCAAGTGTAACGAATCTCGCATCAATACCGCAAAGGTCTTGATATGAGATTCGTGATACCTACCTTCGTAGTGAGGCTACGAGTTTGCTCAAGCTCTAAGCCCAGTCTGTTTTCTCCAGCCCACTAGCACAGAATGAAGGAAATTCTCGACAACACCTCACTGACCGAAGTTATAATTAAATAAGATTTTTTATGCCATTGTTGACTCTAAAAACTATTCAAGAAATAATTGAAGTTGTTTGACATTTCGGCGACGGGCAGTGTTCTATTTCAGAAGATTACTCCCATTTTATACGACGAGAAACCTATTTCATATGAGGGCCTCGGATAGTAATGTGTCTAAGAAATTCTTGATGAATCTTGCTGCGATTTTCTTAAAATGCGTTGGATTTTGCTTTTATATTGATTACTCTGTCACCAGGAGCCCTGCAGCATCGAGTACCAGCATCAGACGGTAACGAGACTCTGAGGTACTATTGGTTGATTATTTGAGGATTTTTTTTTATTAAATTGTTTTCTCTGTCACCAGGAGCCCTGCAGCAGTGAGTGCGAGCACCAGGCAGTGCGGTGCTCGAAGAAGTGCGGTGAGGCCTGCGACCAGGAGCCTTGCGAGGAACCGTGTCCCAAAACACTGGCGTGTGGCCACCCTTGCGTGGGTCTCTGTGGAGACCCCTGCCCTCCGCTGTGCCGCGAATGTAACTTCGACAAACTTACGGAATTTGAACTCATCTGCAACGAAAAGGACCCAGACGCCCGGTTAGTGAAACATTGCAAGTAGTTTTTTTTTTGCTACGAGCTAAATTTTTTGTCATTACGGTTGATCACGTGAGGTTTTGATTCTTCGTTTTTCAGCTGCAAATTATATCGCAGTAGAATTGAATCTCCCATCGTTCATCGTTTAAGTATGAATATGAAAGTCATCATAAATCTTCCTAATGCCTGCTTACTAACATACTATTACCCATGTGGATTATGAGTGCTTACTTAAGTTCTTGTTCATCACCCTACGTAATACGTAATGATGATTTCGTGCTAGGCTACAAGGCTGGGTGCTGCAATATACTATTGTCCAATACCATATACAATAATTATTATTAGTCTTTACATGGGATCCTGCTCTTCACCCTACGTAAAGATGATCTGTCATGTTCGTGCAGCTAAAAGACCGTGGGCTGCAATTATATGATTATTTATAATGATTTTTTTGATGATCTGTCATGGCCGTGCAGCTAAAAGATCGTGGGCTGCAATTATATGATCATTCATAATGATTATAAGTCTTTAATTATTGACCTGTTCGTCACCCTACGTAATGACGATCTCGTGTCAGGTTCGTGCTGCTGCAAGACTGTGGTCACACCATTGAACATGATGGCCTCTCTGGCTGGCTCCATCAGACGGCCGACAATAGCGTGCAGATGAAGCAATGCCCACGTTGCAAGACCCCCATCTACAACAACCGTCGTTTCAACGCTCTCATCCTCGAGACTTATAAGGATGTCCAAACTGTGCTCTTCAAACATAGCGGCCAGCAAGTTCCTACCTTGAAACAGATAGTGGAAAAATTCCCAAGTCAGTCAAACACTTCAAATATCGAGACCTAAGTGATTTAACCATACCTAATTTTCACTGTTTTCCCTTTTTTACATGTGTGGTACTTTTCGAGTAAATTGCTTCCATGTTCTTGGTCTCACAACGAAGCATGCTACTAATTTGCAAGAAATCATGTCCTATTTTTAATTAGTTGCAAACATTTTTTACGAACCTTTCACGTTCACAATCAGTGCATTTTCTCTGCAGCAGAAAACATGGTCAATGACGCTGGACAGCCTGGTCTTGAACTGGACAATTCCCTGTTTTTCCTGGATTGCATCTCCAAGAGTCAAATGCGCAAGACCGTCTCCAACTACATGAACGCGCTGCAATCTTCTAAACTCAAGGGAGTACGTTTTTTATTGGTATTCAGCGTGTGGAAGCGTCGTAAGAATTTAATTTATAGTATTAAATTCCTTAAAATCAGTTTTGAAGGTTTTTAATTTTACGAGCCATTGTTGGAAAAATCTGTTCATTGCTGCCCTTGCGAGTGAAATCTCTTGAGGTGTATTTTTGAATTAGAGAGATTTTCAAACTGTTTTTAATTCCAGCCGAAAGCTCGCTCTAAGGAATTCAAGTTGGATGCTGCGCAGCTACATCTGTTGAATTTCCAAGCGGACGTGGTCATCATGGCCAAGAAGATCCACGATGAGCTTGACCGGTCGCTTAAAAAAGACCTGGAGCGCGTGATGGAACGAGTCATGAGTCAGGTGAGTGAGGGTCAATAGACGTGCCGGCGGTGCAGTGTGATGGAGCGAGTCATGAGTCAGGTGAGTGAGGGTCAATAGACACAGTGTGATGGAGCGAGTCATGAGAGGGCCAATAGACGTGCCGGCGTTGCAGTGTGATGGAGCGAGTCATGAGAGGGCCAATAGACGTGCCGGCGGTGCATTGTGATGGAGCGAGTCATGAGAGGGTCAATAGACGTGCCGGCGTTGCAGTGTAATGAAGCGAGTCATGAGCAGTATGATTACTCGTTCCATCATTAGCAGTATTATGGAGCGAGTCAACGTGCCAGTGATGAGATTTGAACGGCTGACATACGTACCAAAATGACGTAAATCTGAAAATTGCGCTGGTATGTGATTTCATGTCTTCTCATCAGTATTAATTAGTCATCGTTGCCGTGTCAGTGGTTATCAGTTGCTGTCTTTCTCCATTGAACGTAAATTCTACGTTTTGCTGGTGTGTAGAAACATAGCTTTGTTTGCGTAGTGAATCCCTTAGGAAATGTTCCTTTCATACCCGTAGGGAGTGTGTGTGTCGGATCAGTTTTCGAACGAAGCAGCGTGCGAGTTGTCACGCATTGCCACCTCCAACGCGGTCATCAAAATCACTGCCAGAACGAGGGGATCTTCTGAAACTGGCATTGACGTGCATTCTGAAGTGGCATTGACGCGCATTGCTCTTTTCGTGGCGCCGCGCGACGTCTTTACCAAACAATTTGACGACCAAGTACAGGAGCTATTGAAGGAGTGTCAGAAGTACTACTCAGGACTGGGGATATCACCGCAGGAACGAATGCAAATAAAGCAAGCCCTCAATTTTGCTGGATCTGGCCACTGGTACAAGTGTCCTCGCGGTCACGTCTACGCCATCGGCAACTGTGGTCTCGCTAACCAAGTGTCGAGGTGCCCTGAAGCAGGCTGTGGTGCCGTCATTGGGGGACATCACTACCAGCTGGACGGATCCAATACCCTTGCTACTGAAATGGAGTGAGCGCGGGGTGTAAACTAAGCTATGGTGCCGTCAATGTGGACATCACTTGCAGCTGGTCGGATCCAATACCCTTGCTACTGAAATTGAGTTAGCGCGGGGTGTAAACTAAGCTATGGTGCCGTCATTGTGGGCATCACAGGCAGCTGCTCGGATCCAATACCCTAGCTACTGAAATGGAGTGAGCGCGGAGAGTAAACTAAGCTATGGTGCCGTCATTGTGGGCATCACAGGCAGCTGCTCGGATCAAATACCCTAGCNATACCCTTGCTACTGAAATGGAGTGAGCGCGGGGTGTAAACTAAGCTATAGTGCCGTCAATGTGGGCATCACTTGCAGCTGCACGGATCCAATACTCGGCCCCTATAATGGAGTGAGCGCGGTGTGTGAACAAAGCTGTGGTGCCGTCATTGGTGAATATCGTTTGCAGCTGGATGGATCTAATACCCGTGCTTCTGAAATGAACTAAACGTCATTGCAGTGTGTTCGAACTGGATCCCCTTTTCTTTGTATGCAAAATTACATGCTCGTAAATAGCGACTCTTAAAAATATTAAGTTTAATTCGTGGTGAGAAGTCCGTGTCTTAGCATTTCTAGTTCCGGGCAAAAATGACAATATGTAAGAGTGAGGCTATTCATGTGAAAAATGTTGAATGGAGTTTCTGTTCAAGCATCGTAGTAGCGTAGCTTCGTTGTTTCGGGATGTTTACTACATGAATGGAATTTTCATCCAGAAGGAAACTCAGCGGCTTATGCTGTGCAATACGGTCTTGCTAATTCAATTCATGTAGGACGTACAATTTGTAAGTAAATATTTTATCATTATTTTTTAGAACTAAAATTTAGTTTTGTTTGTTCGGGCAAGGATTTTAGTTGCGTTCGAAACCCGACGTCGGAAGAAGGAAAAGTTATTGAATTATTTCGATCACGAAATGGAAGCTAACGCGTTCACTCCGATATGTATGGTTTTGTCTTCTGTTCCTGGAAGTATTTAGTACTGTCTAATTTTTTTACTTCTTGAAACACTGCGATTTGATCATCGTACACCGTAACTTTTAATCAATAGAAATTGTATTTCATGTTCATTTTTTCTGTGCTCATCTGCTCGAACAAAGCATGATCTATTTTATTCGAAAAAAATGTTCAAGTTTTTCTTGCGTTCCCTGACGATGACTTCTCTATGGCAGAATGTAAGCGTGGTGAGTCAGTTCATGGAGGAGGTGCACTGCGAACTTCAGCGCATTCGCTATGTCTCGATCATGAAGAGCGTCCGAACTCGTGGTCACAACGATCGGTTCTTGGAGACTGTACGAGAAATCGACGCACTCATGGATCCAACCCGCGTCTTCACAGCGCAAGTGGAAAGAGACGTGAAAGCGCTTCTAAAGATTTGTGAAACTTTCATTGGTAGCCTGGGCATCTCTAACGAAGAGAGACTTCTAGTTTTGAAGGCAATGCATGACGTCAAGAAGGGTGCGTGGTACAAGTGCCCCAATGGGCACATTTACTGCATCACCGAGTGTGGTGGCGCCATGCAGACGGCCGTGTGTCCTGATTGTGGCGCCGGTATTGGCGGAGGTAGTCATCGTCTTCGCTCTGACAACCGCGTGGCGTCTGAAATGGATGGAGCGACCGCCCATGCCTGGCCGCAGTGATATCCTTGAAACTTTCTTGTACGAAAATATACGAATTTTAACTCTGCAATGGGCTCGGTAGTGACTTATTGTTTCATATGTTGATGCTGGGGGTTCTTGGAAGCCATGGTATCTTGCGCCTTTTCTTTTCAGCTGAGTTCCCTTACAAGTCTACAGGTCAAGTGTCCCGGACAGTGCAAGACGCACAAGTTTTGTTACTACGTATTAACTGTTTTTCTTACGATCTGCACGCGAAAAGTATGTATCCCGAGTTCGAAACCTGAATGGAAAGCGACGGCAATTACATTGTTAGAATTTTCATAGTATATTGTGCACAGAAAAGGACGTTTGATTTTCATAGCTTAATTAAAGATCACTGCGTGCCACGCTTATTTATGTTGTGCTATATTGCTTCACAAAGGCCCGTCTTATTTTTAACCTGTACCTAAAGTAATTATTGCGATGTAATTATTTTATTACGATGAACATGTTTTTTGGTTTATTTTTGATTTTCCACAGACTGGTGATTTTGATTCTTTCTCGATTCTAATGTAGCAGTTACAGTATTTTGGTCTGTGATGCATGGCTGTTATAAGGTGTCTACAGAATAATGATCGGGGTGTGTAATTACCTGCCCAAATCATAGCAATTGCCTGCCTGATGTTAATTTGAACTTCTGCTTGTGAATAAATGGAATGCCATGCTGGATAGGCGCTTGTGAGTGTTTCCACACGAATTAGTGGAGTATAATAGTATAAAATTTCTATCTTCGTCACGTCGTGATTATATATCTTTATTTATGTGGGTTACATCGCAGCACTCCGTGTGGCCAATACTAATGATTTATTGTGATACGCTGCATGTGATACTACAGCTTCAGATTGCCTTTATAACTGTAGTCGGATTTAACAAAAGCTTTATCTTCGTTTTAGTGGTAATGAAGTGTTGTATCATGAGCAATGTCTTGTCTCAAAAAGGATGCATTATTAAATGTTATTGCACGTTTTTAATGCAGTATTTGCGTAAGCATATATTTTTAAGCATTATTCTCAGTTATGTTCCATAAGAAACGCCACTAAGCGTCTCGTGCAAACTTGTTGATGAAGACTAAGCAATTATTCGGGCTGAATGGTAAGACATCTCTCCTGCAGCATCTCAACTTGATGAATTTACTGATTAATTCACTAATCACTATGAATTTTTTACCCTAGAAAAGTATGAACGTGAATAAAAATTGTTTTGTCACCATGTATTCCTTTATACACGACTTGATAATGTATTCTATTTACTTTGTTACAATAGTTCATTACATTATTCAGTACGATTTCCCTCTATCTTTGGGGCACTATCATTTCGCATTATTTTGTGAGCTTTCCAATAAATAACTTTTATGATATTAGTCACGAGTTAGAGAGTGATGAACATTACTCATCGAATTCTTTGACAACGTGTTTGCAGTGATTTACAGTTTTTTCGTTTGGTTTTTTGGTATTCAGTGAATAAAAGTGTTGCACTCACAATTTGTTTTGTTACTCCTGACCATCAAATTCTCGAGACATGAATATTTTCTATTTTTAAATGCGAGGCAGGGCAACTGTTCCGTTGACCCAAACACAGCATTTTGAGCTTATTTCAAACGAGAAAATTGTTGAATTGTTGATCTCTCATCTTATTTTCTTCAAACTGATTGAAAAGTCTTGCGTGGAAAAAGATCTTGGAGTTTGTGTCGACAGGGAGCTAAAATTTTATATGCAAATTGAAACGCAAGTTAATACATCCAATAAACTGCTTGGGCTCATCAGACGCTCCTACGAGTACCTAGATATAGAAATGATGAAGCTGTTGTTCACATCTGTCGTGCGCCCAAACCTAGAGTTTGGAAACGTTGTGTGGTCACCGAGACTTGAAAAGGACAAAAATTTAGTTGAGAGTGTTCAAAGACGTGCAACAAGGATAATATGCCTCGTACCCTACGGAACAACTGATATCTAGAAGTGATTTTAAATCTACCGTCCGTAAGGCCAGTCTAGTCAAGAAAAGTACAAGAATCGGCGACAGGCCTATCCAGGCCTATTTATTTAATGCCGAAGATACTATACTACTATACTAAACGCATTTCTTAAGGGAATTGTGAAAATAATGAAGCTTTTGTGTCTAAATCTCATTTAATGTTTAGTGTGGTAAATTGTTGTCATGTGAAAATATACTAAATGAAATAACCTGAAAACTTCTTGGTAATTTGAAACGAGTTTCATTAACTTGTATATAATTTAATAGGTGCTACTTGCTAGGAGCTGCAGCAACTCGAAAGAGAAGTGAACGATGCATAATATTACATTGTGGCGTGCGTGTTTACTCAAGATTATTTTTACTTTAACATTCAATCTAAATTTTAACCAACCAATTCGTTCCCGTTTCCTTTAATTATTCATCTTCAGAAAAACAACGAATGACCTTGCCCTTCCCTTTAAATTTATAATAGCAGACTAACACAAACTTGTGCGGGCGCAACGGGGTAGGGAAAAGTCGACGTGCTTTTTCTCCCGTTTATTTCATATACTTGAGTGACGTAAGCTGGAAATAAGATTTAATATTAGTTAATAGGTCGAGATAGACATACATGAAACAAACTAGGCAGATGCTGGACTCTCATTGATTAGACTTGAGTAATAAACGTTGTAGATGAGCGTTCTTAGGTAATTGATTACTCGATAACAAGATTGCAACTGGAATGACACGAATTATTTATGTTAGCATGGTTGTGTCAGGTGACAATGTTGATACCATTCGTCCCTCGATATTTCCTGATTGATGCCTTCCTTGTTGAAAGATAACATCATTCACATGCGATATGTTCATAAGCATTTCCTTGTTAATATTAGCCTTTCCTGTTTATCAAGTCATGCCCATTGTGAAGTCAAATAGCGAAGTTATGTGAGCTCTGCCCAGACCAGGAAACTTCAGTCTTGGGCCGAGAACAGTCGTGTATAAGCCCTTACTCATGTTCGTATCCAATAGGACAGTAACCCTAAATTAATGTCAGAGTAGAAGATATACTCTAGACTTATTCATACTTCAACTGGACGCCGAAGACATCAGTGTTAAAGCTCCAACTTATAATCTGGTTATCCTAAACTGTAAGCCGAACTATAATCCTAAAAGTATATTATATAATCGTTTACGCTGTTCCTCTATATATTCGGATCCCGCTACATACGAACTACCCTCAGGTCATACTTATGATTCAATATCGCGTCGTTTACTACCAAATCGTAACGTGTTACAGTTGCGGTGTTTCATTTGTTACTTACACGAGGTGGTTTGGCAGGCAAGAAGAAGAGACTATTACTGGCGTTTTCTCGCTTATGCTAGCGTTTGCCAACGCTGGGTTGGGCTTTGAAATTGATTACCAAGTATGACAGTGCCAACGCTGGGTTGGGCTTTGTTTGCGATTAGTGCCAACGGTTGCGGTTGGGCTTGGCCTACGATTAAGATACCTGAAATCGTGAGGTTGGAGGTTAAGTTTAGATGACAATATCTTAAAGTTACATAAAATGCTTCAAATTATAAGAGATGTAATGAATTAAAGGTCAGCAGTAGGGCTGTGTAGAGTGGTCTAGATGAGGCGGTAGGGGAGAACGAAGTAGTCTCCCTTAAAACTTTTCTATGAGATTCTGTCGAAGAAAACGGAATGGCGTCTTAGCTACATGGCTAAGTAACATTTAAATAGTCAAAACAGCAAAAGTGAGCCTAGAAAATATCAAATCAGTATAACCAGTTATGCGACAAATAATTCCTTTTCAAAATAATTACTCCTACTTATCGTAATAATAAGTAGAAAATCATCGTAAGAATAGTTCAGAGAAATCTCTCTTCCGCCGTGGCAACAGCCGACGCCTCACTCGATCGACAATTCTACACCGGATCGACACTTCAGACCGGATCGACACTTCAGCGAACTCAAGCGCGAACTCAAGCGCGATCTCAAGAGGCAAACCTAACTTCACCTTCAACTTACCCAGTCATAAATCCATAAATACCGAACGGATTTCTTTCAAATTTGAAATATAAGTAGATAATATTAGTAATT